GCCTTGGTAGGAACATCCATCCTGGATTAGCAAATGCCACCCGTTGTTGCCCAGTGTGACAGCTGAGAAGAGGCCTAACTGCTGAGCCACTCTACTGAGTACTCAGTACTGTTGTTTCTTTCTGTGTGGGAATTCTCTCAGGGGACTCCAGGTGGGGCACACTTGGCCCTAGAGAGGCAAATAAGAAACTAGCTGGATGGGCCTGGGTAAGACAAAGCCTTGCAGGGCGAGAGACCATCGTTAGCCGTTTCCTAGCATCTTCCTGGATGTGTGATCTAAATTAAGATCCTTATAGTCCATGTTGAGTCCCTGCCACAGCCTTTCCTTCCTTCCTGCAGGCTCTCTGTAGTGTAGCCACAGGAAGTCCCTGCTGGACCGCACTCTGTTCTTTGTTGTTCCATCTGCCAGTCTGCTTCCATGTTTTCTGGCTAAAGCCCTATCCCCACCCCACCCCCAAGTGTGTGTGTGGTAAGGGGACCTTCCCTGTTCTCTCTGCCCCATATTGAGAATCTTGAGGTGGTTCCCTGTTCCTCTCCTGGTGTTCCAGACACTCCCTTCTCTAACATCATTTGTCTTATCCATAGTCATTCTTGTCCACTGCCCAGGATAATAAGTTCTTCCTTACCAGGATGCCCCAGGAAAACCTCTCTAGATGTGATCCAAGGATGTTGCCCTCTGACCAACCTCCATAGATCCTGAAGCAGCACCCAAGTGTCTTTCTGTAAGTAACAGAAACCCTAACTAATAAGAACTTGAACCACAAAAGGGTTTCTGATTCCTTATGAAGAAATCTTGAAGTAGGCAGGTCTCAGTCATATTGAGCATGACTCTGAGAGGTCAGTGTCTGAATACCTTCTAAGTCTTCTCCTCGTGGATAAATAATGGCTGCCACTGCTCTGGATGTCACACAGTAAGACTTTTTTCAAAGAGAGGATGTAGAGTGGTGATGGAGGTAGGAAAACCCTCCCCTGCTGTGCTCTTCTTACTTGAAGACTTGGAAACCAACAAACCAGAATCCTGTCTCAGAAGTCTTCTATTCTGTTAGGTTCCCACAACTCAAGGCCAACTTCCAAGAGGTTATTCACTGCAATTGGGAGAAGGAAATTAATCTGTCCCCAACTCAGTTGCTCATCTATAAAGTGGGAGCTGGTGATTCTTGCCACTTGAGGTTGGATGAGGGATGGAACAAGATGGCCTAGCTTGGATATTGCCATGCCCAATTCTCTTGGGCAACTGATAGGTTCAGGAATAAGTAGGTAGGTGACCTGATGGCAACAATTAGGGTCCTACTTAAGATGTGTGTGCTGCTCTCTTCCTCGGGGGAAAATAAATAATAAGGACCAAGAGAGCCTGAAACTTTGACTCAAAACTTGGTGCTTATTAGCACTTGCCCTGACAGAAAGTTGACTGCAGCCCGACATGGTGGGTGCCACTCACAGGCAGCAGGAGACAAAGGCTGAACTCCACTTTCTATCAAGACACCAAGACCCTGCCTCAACAAAACACCAAAGCAAAATAAAAACAAATGAATATGTGAATAGCATACCCCAGGAAGCAAGATTCCCAACTCTCCATTTAACCTGTTATGACTACATCTAGGAGTGTCGGCAAAACCCCACAAAGAGAAAAGAAATATTATCGACTCCTCCTGAAATGATTGGACCTTCTCATTATAAGAATTTACAGGGTCCTGAAATTTCACTTCATACTTCATATCAAGGAGAAATCAAATATATTACAAATTAAATCAGAAAGTTTAGCATTCAAAAAGTGTTATAGGCCAGGGAGATGGTTCATTTGGCAAGTAGAGTTGTTTCCACTGCAGACCCCAGACCCATTGACCTGACTGCAATCCCTGGAACCCATATAAAAAGCAGGATGTGGTGCTTTACACCTGTAATCCCAGCACTGCTACAGTGAGATGGGAGGGAGGGAGAGAGGGGGAAAAGGGGAGAGAAAGAGAAAGAGGGGTGGAGGGAGGGAGGGAGGGGAGAGCCATTAGACAGAAGTCCCTGAGCCTTCTGTTCAGCAGCAGAAATGAGAAAGACACTGTCTAAAACAAGATGGAAAAGGACTAGATGGACTCACAAAAATTGTCCTCAGCCCTTCATTTGCATGCATGCATTCTCTGTGTCCATCTCTCTAATTTTAAAAATAAGCGTTATGTCTCTTAAAATTTCCGAAGAAGCCCTTATTTATCAAGATGGTAGAAAGTTGCTGGCCAAGTTTGCAGATGGTGTCAGGGTTTGGTGGTCAGTGGAAACAGGCAGAAGGGACTTAATTGTCAATTTACAGCCATCCCTAGAGCTGTCCAAGAGACTCATACAGAGGAATCTGGGCCACTGTGGAGGAGATGCGAACTGGGGACTTGCTTCATTCTTCAAGGTTCCTGAGCCTTAGAGGACCAGGTCCCTCTCTTGAAGGCACAGGGCAGCCCCTTCCACTCACTGTCTGGGATCTGGACAGCTCAGAGTCTACGGGGACAGAGTCCTAGGCCCATACCTTTGGTTCAAGGACTCTCTAGCACTTCTGTTCAGTCTAAAAGGCCTCAGAGCCCAGGAGGCTGTGCTTCTCCCCTGGCCGCATCCATAGACACCTGCTCACCCTCGGGTGGTCACAGCCCTCGGAATCACAGGGGCCACCCCACCCTGACAACTTCTCCCTTCAGCCGGAAACACAGACCAAAGACTTCCTTCCCTCCTTGTGATAAGGAAAGTTCAAACCCCAAGAACTCAAAAACCAAGAAGGACAAAGGAAACTCCATTTCCTCCTTCTTGCTGATAAACTCCAACCCTGAGAAAGGGGACAAATATGGTCTAGTTCTTCACGGGGCTGTTCTGTACAGCTACCAGGGGTCAACACTCCACCGCAAACATTTGTGCTAGGTGGATGGGAGGGGGGATGAGACATGGGCTAGGGTCTAACTAGCTCACCATTTTATCCCAGTTTCTGAGCTTAGACAATAAGTAGGAGGGCATGGTATATTAGTTCAACAACTACTTATTACTCAGAACTCTGTTCTGAAGGACATGCTCAAGCTGGGACACTATTGAAGGATAATACACTGTCCTTTGTCACTGGGCAAGGTGGCCCTAGGCCTGGAGTTGCACAAGATCTGAATGGTGTAGGAGAGTGTGATTTCTTTGCTTGTTTTGTCTATTTCCCATACACATTAGCTTCATCTTGCCAGAGACTCCTTTCCTTATCCCTTGGGCCTTGGTTCCAGAACCTCTGTGCTGCCCTGGTCCATATCACTCAGATATTGGAGAAAGAGACTCTTTGGTAGCTGAAACTTGAGTCGTAAGCATGACTTCGCATTGTGTCTAATCTCAGAACCAATCTCAGCAAAGGGGGTGAGTATGTTCTCAAGCTACCAACACACGATTGCAAGGTCAAGGCCAACCTGGGCTACATAGTGAGTGCTTTCCTTAAACGACAAACAAATCACTTCACTAAGGAAGGGGCCTCTACTAACAGGCACTCGAAGCTGGGGAAATGTCTATACACACCGCTTCCCCTCTTCATGCTGTTCCAGACGCTAGGATTTCAATGACCTCTCCAGGACACTTACTAAAATGTAACTGTCACCGTGATGATACAGGAAGGGGGACTTTAAGAAGTGAGTGATACATGGGGGATACAGAAGTGAACCTAGGGTCATGGGACCCAATTGTTATGAATGGGTTAATTCATTGAGGAAGTAAACTAGTTCTCTCTGGAGTGGATTTGTTATAAAATAGAAGTCTGTTCTTTCCATCTCCTCTCCCTCTCCCTCCTTCTCTCTCTCTCTCTCCCCTTCCCCTTTCCTCCTCCCTCCTTCTCCCCCTCTCTCTCAATATATGATGCTCCCAATGATGCTATGATATAGCAAGAAGGTCTCTTGGATATCTCAATCTCCCAAACTATGAGGAAGAACTTCTTTTTCAGAGTTAAACCACTTGTCTGTTACAGCAGCAGGAATTAGACTAAGAGAGTTCACTTCCATGGCCCTCAGTTGCCCTCTGTTTGGGGACTGACTTGTTCGCTGGAACTCTAGAGAGCCATGCCTCCTCTAGATACAGACACACAAAGGGAGAGTTCATGGAAGATGGGGGAGGGCTTCGATAAACCTTGCTCCTGATCAATATTTTATTGTCAAGAACTCAACAACTACAAATAACTGAAGGTTAGTCCAAAAAACTGTGAAAAGAAGAGAAAGGCAGGTAGGATTTGATATACCTGTGGCCCTGCCAAATGAGGGATGTGGTCCCAGGACTGCATGGGACATCAGGATAAGATAGGAGAGACTTGGGGTCCCCCAGATTTAGACTTCTCAACTTGAGACAGTCTCGGTTCCTCTCTGATTGTCAGTCTCCCCACCTGATAAGTGTGATTGCTGCGGTTCATCTTGACTGTCAGTTCCTGGGTTAGAGATTCACCATGGAAACAAATCTCTGCGTGATCATGAGGGCTTGTCTAGATGGATTGTGGTGGGAAGACCTACCATAACGTGGGGTGGTACCATTTCATGGGCTGAGGTCGAGATCGGCATGAAAAGGAGCCGGGCAAACTCAGCCGCATCTGTTGTCATTGCTTCCTGATGGTGGAGGGTTGTGGATGCTGTGAGATCAGCCATCCCAGACTCCTGCCGCCACACTTCCCCACCACGGCCCAACCGTACCCTCAAGCTGTGTGCCAGAATATACCCTTCCTTCCTTCCTTCCTTAAGTTCTTTCTCTGGGACATTTTATCACAGCAACAAGACAAGGAACGAATATAGCAACAAACCCGTTACAAGCCTCATCCTCCACAAATCCTCCTCTGGCTTTGGCCTCTGTCGCAATCCTACCCCTCCTCCATCGCTTCTTTTATCGTCTCTGATGTCTGCTTTAGACTCACACTCCCAGCTTTCTCCTGGGAGGCTCTGTTCTCTTTCACCCTTCCTCATACCAGATGTGTTTCTCCTTACTGTCTTCCTGCTCGAGGAGGAAGCGCCCAGAGGGCAAGGCGCCTTTTTCTTTTTTCTTTTTTCTTCTGTATCGAATTTAATATTGTATCCCAAGGATCTAGAAATGTTTTCAGCACATTGTAAACACTCAATAAATACTTGTGGGATGAATGAACGAATGAATGAGTCTGGGGCATCTCTGCAGGCCAAGCAATCTTTAATTCGGACGGAGTAGCGCTGCCATCTGGTGTCCGAAACTTGAAATTGCAAGTACAAATTCCAGGGTGCGAAGAAGACTCCAGGGGACCAACCAGTCTTGTGAGTTGAATCCTGTTCAATGTTTCAAATGCCACCACCTGACTTCAAACATCTCAAAGACCCACACACTGTGACTTTTTGTCTTGTTTTGTTTTTGCCTGTTTTGTGCCCCTATTCGGAAGACCTGGTCAACCCCACCAAGAGTTTGCTCCGATGTTTCTAAAATCAATTGTGCACGGAAATACTTCCTTCCTGGAAGAAGGAGTCATGAGAAGAGTTCAGTGCTGAGCGAGAATGAAAGTGGGAGGCAGGACCATGTGTTATGAGGGACCAGTGAAAAAGCCTGAGGGGAGGGAGGGACAGAGGCAAAAAGCCTTTGAGACCAGACCTAGTTTCAACTTGACTGTGAGTCTACTTCAAGCCTTTGAGACCAGACCTAGTTCCAACTTGACTGTGAGTCTGCTTCCGGCTCTTTCTTTCACAAGATGGCCTTGGGCTAAATGGGCTTTAGGCCCTAAAACCCTGGCGTTCCTAACCAGGAACATAAAGGCCACGGGTGCCCCCAGTTTCTGAAGTTATTTGGGTGCTGGTGCCCTAAGTTGAGGATCTCCTCATTCTGAGGCAAGTGTTCCAGGACAGGTGTGTGTGTCGGGGGGGGGGGGGGGGGGGGTTGTTTGGGGAGTGGAACTCTCCACGAAGGCTGGCCTTTTATTCCGGTTTCCTCTCAAAGCCTCACCCCTGTTTGGTCTCAGCCTTGATGACATCCCAAGACTCAGGGCCCTCAGCGTCATGACAACCAGGATCCTCCCCCTCCTAGACACACACACACGCACACGCACACGCACACGCACGCGCACGCGCACGCGCACGCGCACACGCACACGCGCACGCACACGCACACGCACACGCACTGTATCTGATCTGTTCCTTGTAACTACCTAAGGGTTGATTTAAGCTCATCCATGACTTTCTTTGGGTCTCTGGTCTACACTGGCAAGGTGTGCTTGTCTAGCCTTTCTGTTGAGGTTGGTTACCCTGGGAGATGTAGCCTTGGCTGTTGATGGTGCAGGAGCTTCTCCCGGCCTCTGCCCAAGCTCTGTTCAGCACAGATAGGTGTCCACTGATCCAAGATTGCATGTGATTTAGAAGACATGTTGAGGCTCTCATCCTAAGAGGTTGGAATATCTGGAGGAATGCCATTGAGAGGCAGGCCACCTTGTGACACTGAAGCATGGACTGCTGAACAGTTTAAGGAGCCCCTAGAGTCCTACCTGTCCCCTCTTTCTGTACTCCCTTCCTCTGCTCCTGCTCCTACAGAAGCTTCTTTCTGTTGGGATGCACAGGGTCCCCTGCTCTGCTTCCCAGCCTCTCTCCCTTTGCACACTGGGCTGTTCCTCCAACCCCAGCTGCGTTTCTGCTCATTTCTAGGCATGCTCCTCCAATGGAGCAATGGGCTCTGCTGTGCCTTGTAAACTCAGCATCATTGCCATTACTTTCAAAGGACTCCTCTGTGAACTCCCAGATACTAGGAGCTTAACTCCCAGGATGCCCTAGCTTGTTGGGCTCGATCTTGGAGCCTGTCAAAGGGAAATGCAGATGGATAGGACAGAAGTCATTAAGCCTAGCACAGGGCTGGGTGGTGGCACACACCTTCAGTTCTAGCACTGGGGAGGCAGAGGCAAGCAGATCTCTGTGAGTTCAAGGCCAGCCTGGTCTACAGAGCAAATTCCAGGACAGCCAAGGCTACACAGAGAAACCTTGTTTTGGAAAACAAAAACAAACAAAAAGCAAAACAGCAGCAGCAACAACAAAACAAGCCTAAACACAGATAAGCTTTGAATTTTCTGTGAAAACTTAGCAATCAAATTCACACACGCAGGTAAGAACAAAAAATGCATAACAGAATTTGGCCAAAAAAGTAAAATAATCTTATAATGATTTTAAATTTTCATACATTGAATTAAATAAAATACATTGCTAAAATTAAGTTTTGGGTTTATCTGTACTTTAAAAATGGGACTAATATAAAATTCTATGTTACATACATGGTTCACTTAAAACTTCTATTGGATAGAATTGCTTTAAAGGGTGCTTGGGTCAGATACGGTGGCATGTATGAGGCAGAGGCAGGCAGATCTCTGTGAGTTCAGGGCCAGGCTGGTCTACAGACCGTGTGAAAGAAAGAAAGAAAGAAAGAAAGAAAGAAAGAAAGAAAGAAGGGAAGGAGAGAGGGAGGGAGTGATGGTGTGTGCACACTGCCTTTGCTCCCAGCCCTGGGAAGGCAGAGGCAGGCAAATCTCTGAATTTTATATCAGCCTGGTCTACAGAGCAAGATCCAGGGCATCCAGGGATACACAGGGAAACCCTGTTTTGAGGGGGGGAAAAGGTGTCTGGGGCAGAAGATATACATATTGTCTAACAAAAGTTATAGAAGGCCATTTTTATTATGTTACATTAAGTCCCAATACACTAGGCCGAAAATCAAAATGGAGTTGCTTGTACTAAAAAATCAACCCAAAACTGTTATCTGACCTTCCAAGAAAGCAAGTGAGATGATAGATTTCCCAAGCAATTGGCATAAAGATGAAATTTCCCTCTGCCTAATTCTTACTTGAAAAAAAAAAAAAAAAAAGATACCCCAGACGGCCCAATTTCTATTGCTCTGTCTCTCTGCCCAGTTTTTCAGGGTAAATATCTTTGAACTCACCATTTCAACCCTAATCCCTGCACTGGGGATGCTGACACAGGGGACTCAACGTGAGAAATCCTATCTCAAAATCAAAGAAATGATCAATCAATATTTTGTCTTGTTTTTGCTTCCTCCAGCCCTTCTCTGTTTATAAAACATCTTTATTTTTTTTCATTTTATAGAAACAATAGACAATGTCACAATGTTGAATGCGGGTGGATGCTACATTACAGTTCAGTCACCAAGAGTCAAGAGACCTCTAGGGTAAGGAGGGAAGTGAAGGCTGGACGAGCCATGTTGTGTGGGAGGAGGGTGTGGTTTGGGTAAGGACATGGAGGTCTGTCCTGGTGATGGGTTCAATGTACTAAGGGAGAAATAACTACGTCTGGCAAGATCGCAAAAGCTTAGGGGGTCTTAGGAAAAAGAGTGAGTTATAGTTTCCACCCATGTGTCCAGTCACAAGTCCATCATTTTATCCTGAAAGAGGAAGACATGCAGGAAGTCCCTGAAGTGAAAGCTGGAAATATGGATGCTATCTCCTTCCAGACCCAAGAGCTTTGAACCCCAGATCGCAATGCAATTTCAAATCTAGGACAAATATTTCCCCTGAATTTGTCTAGAAGGAGGCGCCTGAACAAGCCACATTTTCTAGAGGTCCTGGGGTTAGAGGCTCAGGCTCCATGGTCAGAATGCCCACCCTGCTCTGGATCTCAAAGGCTCTGCTTCCCTGCAAAGCCTGGTTCCAAGCAGTTTCTTTCGGGCTGTTGACCTGGGTCCTGGGAGAAGTCACAGAGGGAAACACATGGTCCTGCTGAGATGAATTCCTTCCATCTGGACATTACTGTGTTTGGCAGAAAGAGGCGGCCGGGACTGAAAACACAAAGCCATAGCTTGAAAGTGCTTGCATTTGCATTTTGCAGAATTTCTGGTCTGGCTATCCTAGGTCAACAATGACTCTTCCTAAGAAGAGCTAAGATTTCTGTGGTCCTAGGGATTGGCTGCCCTGAGCTGGGGAGAGGCTGGGGTTGAGGCCAAGCTGGATGTTGAGTCAGTTTATGAAGGGCCAGCTGTGTTTCCCAGCCCGGGCCAGGAGACTACCCTAAGATTGGACCAAAAGGAATAGGAAGCTGACCAGGCCAGAACAGGCCCTAAAGGGTCCATTCTAACTAACTAGAACAGGTTAGCTAGAAAACAGTGATGCTGAGCTAGAGAGATGGCTCAGAGGTTAAGAGCACTTGCTACTCTTCCAGGGGACCTGAGTCCCATTCCCAACAGAGGATCACAACGCTTGGTTAACTCCAGCTCCAGGACATCTGATACCTTCTTCTGGCTTCCTCTGGATCCTGAACATGCAAGGCAAATATCCACATGAAATTCATACATACGTAAATAAAATAAAATAATCTAAAGTAAGGAAGGGAGGGAGGGAGGAGAGGAAGGAAGGAGGAAGGAAGGAACGAAGGAAGAAGGAAGAAAGAAAGGAGGAAAGAGGGAGGGAGGGAGGAGAGGAAGGAAGGAAGGAAGGAAGGAAGGAAGAAAGGAAGGAAGGAAGGAGAAAAGATGAAGGAAGGAAGGCAAATTTTCCAACCTGTATTCTAAAATACTAAAATCTGATGTCTAAAATTCCCATCACTCATTTTCACCTGGAAGGATTAAGATCTGTGCTTGTTTTTAGTTTCAGTTTTCAGAATGAAACATTGTTTATTGAGATAAAATGTGTGAGCCAGGCTTGCATATAAGATTTGAAAAAAAATCACACAAAGGCAGATCCCAGTGTCAAAATTTTGCCAAAACATAGCTAGTCCAACCAGCTGCTGCACATGTCAACAAGAAAGTGCTGGGAGCACGGAGGAGAGAGGGTTGGTTTAAATCTTTATCCCGTCCATCGCAGGAAGATCCTGACACTTCCACTGTTCTCCAAGGGCTACAGAGGAGCAAGGCTGTGCTTCCTGTGCTGTGGCCTGGCTGGCTAGACACCTGGAAGTCAGTGATTCCACTCTTTCTCCCAAAGACTTCATAAGAAAAAAGCCCTAGAGGACGCTGCATAGCAAGACTGTTAAAAGATACCAGACTCTGGAGGCAAACTGTCTAACAAAGACTCTGGCTGGATCTATGACCTCCTTCTCTCCGAAGCCCAGTTTCCTTATTCACAAACTGGGACTGATGATAGATACCTATGTTATGGTGCGCTGTAAGGATGACACAATATAACACGTGGAATACTTGGACAGCACAGATATTAGGCTTTGATGAGTGTTGTCTTTACATCATAGTTTTATCTTATTTTTAATTATGTGCATGTATGTGTTTGTGTGCGTGTGTGTGAGTTCCTGAGGAGGCCAGGGGTGTGGGCCTAGAGCTAGAGTTACAGGTGCTTGTGTGCTGCCTGAAGAGGGTGCTGATAACGGAACTGAGATCCTCTGTGAGAGTGAACCTTTACCCACTGAGCCTTCTCCCCAAGCCCTGATAAACGTATTCTTATCATCACTAATTCCCACCACCAGCTGAAGAAACTGCCGTCTATCTAACAAGAATAAGTTGAACATCATTCCTTTATTCCTTCAGTATTTCCTCAGGCCTATACTACAAATAGGATTTTATAAGGAATATAAAAATCACAAAGACAGCTTGAAAAACCTTCCCATAAGAGTAAGGAGACATAGCCACAAGATCTGCAATGCAGTGAAGTGGACAAGCTTAGGTGACAAATCTCCCAGGTCCCTGTATAATTCACGATTAAATGAAGCCACAAGCAACTGAAAACCCAAAATGATGGCTTAGATAAGGTAGACTTTTCCCCCACCTATAATCTCAGAAAAACAGTCTAGAGAAGGTCGTCAAGGGTTCGACAATGGTTAAGGGTCCAGGCCATTCACAATCCACAGCTTCTCCCAAATCATCCAACAGGGGTTTTAACTCCAGCCTTTGCCATCCACAACTCCTTCACTATTTTCATCGTAGCCACGCTCAACAGAACAAGTTCTAGGGACCATCCTAACTACTTTTCACCTATTAACCCATATACTCTTCATAAGAGTCCTACTACACAGACATCAACTGTGGCATAAAAAGATCATGTAAGTTATCCAAGGTCACACAATTTGCATATAGCAGGGCCAAGATTTGAACTTGGGCCATCCACTCCAGAAGTTTAACAAGCAACTCTAACAGGCACACACTGCAATCCCTGATTTGGGCAAAAGAATGTATTTAGGGGCAAGCCGAAAAGGGCATTATCTCCTTTTAGTGATCCTTTGGCGAGAACTTAGTCACATGTCTGTGACAGACGCAAGCAAGGCTGTGAAATGCAATCTTTGTTAATATAGGTACCTCATGGTGTGGTGACCCCCCAATCATAAAACTGTTTTTGCTGCTTCTTCATAACTGCAACTTTGCTACTGGTATGAATTGTAACCTAAATATCTGATGTGTGACCCAGGTAAAAGGGTCATTCAATGGCCCCTGACAGGAGTTGCAACCTAGAGGCTGAGAAATGGGGATCTAGAGTAACTGTGAGTTCTAAGAAGAAAGAGAACAAACGGACTTGGGAGCCAGGTCCAGGGAGGGCTGTGGAGTACCAGTGATGGTCTGGAGGGCTTAAGGAACCTCCAAGGGTGTTTAAGTCGGGAAACAACACAATATGAGCCCAGCTTTTGGGCTAAGCACTCAAGATCACATGTTGCACCAGCTGGAAAGGGCTGGCAGGAAGATCTTGCCGTAAATGCTCCAAATGCTTTGGTTTCATGGAGAAGAGACAGTTAAAAAAAAAAAAAAATGGAGTCTTGACCTCTGGGAGGTCAGGACTTGGAACCACCTGGTGGGTAAAAGATGAAAAAGCCAAAGGTAATTTCAAATAAGCCTTGGGCCTTCTAGTGGGGCGGGGCTAGAAGATGAGTTCAAGTTGGAGGGCATGGACTTGAGATTCCTGCAGGGCCACCTGGTGGAAAAGCTTACAGAGGGATAATGGGAAAAAGTCAGCGCTTACAGACACAGCTGTGAAGTCATACACAGGGAGACCTTGGAAGCACTGGGCGCAGATGACACCCTCAGGAGAGAGCCAGTTGAACAGACCCCATGAGGAGGCAACAAAATGAGTCCTGCGACAGAGGAAGCAACCAGAGGAGGGATGGTCCATATAGGAGGCAGTTCACACAAGGAGCTTTGGGCTAAGCATGGTAGGGGAAGAGGTCAGGAAACACTGAGGGCTCTGAGGGCTCGTGGCTTCGGCTGGGGTTGGCCCTAGCACCCCACATGCCCCCATAAGCTGTCCTGTTGTCCCAGCTATGGCTTTAGCACTGGGAATCTGCAAAGTCAAATAGTTTAGATTTATGATGGAAAATGGCCCTGGGGACTGGGACAATTTACTGCTCACAAACAGATTCCAACTTGTCCATTAAAGCAACCTCATTCCAGCCCAACACCCAGGCATGTTCACACCTCTGGTGAGGAGTCAGGCCTGCCCAGATGATTAGCCTCTGGGCTCAGTTCTCAGAGGAGCGGCTGCTCCCCTGCAGGAAGCATGACAGCCTTTAGAGCCAGGGTCACAACAGCCCACATTGCTGCAGAGAGAGGCCAGGCCTGGCGACAGTACGTCTGCCCCAGCCTGCCCTGGACAGGGACTCTGAGGGGGCAAGCCCTGCCCCCTGGAGCGAATCATGGCCGGATTGGGTAACAAAGGACTTTGATGCCAGTTCCCAACTCTGCCATTTAAGAACCCTGTGGTTTGAACAATGCCTTGCACCTACCCCCCACCCCCAGCCTGGCCTGAGATCTTTCCCTCTTCTGTAAATGAAGAACGATAATTCCCACCTTAAAAGGGTTCTGTGATGGAGGAATGAGGTATAAGAAGCAAGACTAAGCTCAGGGACTGGGGCCTGGTGCTCCCTTGAGAAACCAGATGAGTTCTTATTACTGGCTGACCAACAGTCTGGCCTCTTCCCCAAAGTGTGAGTTTAGAAGGATGCCATCCCCCCCAGGTAGGGAGCATATGCTGGGGGATGCTCGCAGGACAAAGAGTAAGGAGAGGATTCTTTGTATATTTTCTCTACTCCTGCCCCTTGTCTCCTTTCTTGGAGGATGGACTCCATGATAGGGATAAGGTTGGACCCTGGAGGCTGAGAAGAAAGGCAAGAGAATACCCTCACTTGAACCGCTGGCCTTGTGCTTGGGGGCTACCATCATATTCTCCCAGGCTTGTGTGCATGTGGCTTAAGCATCGCTCCCATTTTCTTGACCATGTGGTCTTCGGGCATCTGTAGAACTATGGAAGTAACTGACCAGCTTTGAAACGATGTAGATTTCTTCATTCTATTGCATAATTTTCACCTTCTAAGGTCACCTGCACCAATCTTGGCTATGACCACTGCCATCCCCATGCGCCTGCTATGGCATTCACTCCAATGAAGTTACTGTTTTCTTACTTTAAAAATTGAGCACCAAGGGGGCTGGAGAGATGGCTCAGCACTGGCTGAGCACTGGCTACTCTTCCAGAGGACCTGAGTTCAATTCCCAGCACCCACATGGCAGCTCACAACCATCTGTAACTGCAGCTCCAGGAGTTCTTCTGACACCTTCACACAGATATACATGTAGGCAAAATGCCAATGCACATCAAATAAAAATTAATTTAAAAAATTGAGCACCAGGCAATGGTGGCGAGAGCCTTTGATCCCAGCACACAGGAGGCAGAAGCAGGCGGATCTCTGTGAGTTCAAGGCCAGCCTGGTCTACAGAGTGAGTTCCAGGACAGCCAGAGATGTTTCACAGAGAAATCCTGTCTCAAAAAACCAAAACTAATAAATACATAAATAAATAATATTGAGCAAGAAGCTGGGATGGAGCAAGAATCAGACTGGGGGTGGGGGTGGGTTACAGGGTCTATGTATTCCCATTCTACACTTCGTTTGCTGGGTTACCTCCCACCCCACTGACCACTGAGCAACATGAGCAGGAACTACCCAAGAGAGACATCTCCAACCTCCCAGGCCCTTAACCCTAATGCCCCATCTTCAGGCAGATGGGAGTGGAGTTCCAACGCAGCCAGTGATGCAGATAAAAAGTGCTCAGCTATGTCCCAGGGTTCCCCTCCTCCTCCTCCTGCTCTGACACACTCTCCTGGAATAAGAATCATTAGCCAAAATGGTCAAAGCCCAAACCACTCATCAGTCACAAGGGAGATCCAGGTGGGGCATGGGGGGGGAGGGCTTGTGATTGGCAGGAGACTTGGTTCCTGTCCTAAGAAGTTTTCATTGTGCGTGTAACCAGAGAGACAAGGTTGACAAGAGTGAATCATTGGGAGACAGAATAAGATGTGTAAGACTTTAAAAATCTAAGATTCTGGAAACACACTCTATGAGTGTTAGAGAGACCCACACAAGT